TTATTATACTAATATATTTAAATCCAATATAATATATGTATTATATTAAAATATGGTAAAACAATCTATATCAACTGTGGATACCTTGTAGAAAAAGAAAAAAAGTATTGCTTTTCTCCCTTGCCCATACAATGGTAGTGCTATTTTTAAAGTCAAATCATCCACCGCCCATTTACAAAGTCGGTGATAATCTTGAGTGATTTTGACTTATATTGTTTCCAGTTGTAGTATTTAATCTTCTGAAAATATATTAGTTTCACAGTTGAGGCAAGAGGAAAAAGAAAAATACATTGCATATATGGCGAATTCAGGAGCATCCCTTGTGCACGGTTTTGCTTCGATAGTGGAAAATGCTCTGAGAAGTATCGGAGGAGATTTGGGAGCATTTCCTTTGCAGGATTTTTCTTTGGCAGTGGAAAATGCTTTGAGTAGTATTGGAGGAGATTTCGGAGCATTACCTGTTCATGGATTTGCTTCTATAGTGAACAATGCGATGAGAAGTGTTGGAGGAGATTTGGGAGCAATGCCCGTGCATGGTTTTGCTTCGGCAGTGGAGAATGCGATGAGAAGTACAGGAGGAGATTTGGGAGCATTGCTCGTGCATGGTTTTGCTTCTGCAGTGGAGAATGCGATGAGAAGTACTGGAGGCGATTTTAGAGCCTTGCCCGAGCATGGTTTTGCTTCGACAGTGGAGAATGCCAATGGAGATTTGGGAATGTCTCATTCCCCCGTGCCTGATTATCAATTATTCAGCCTAGTTGAGCTTGCAGCAGCCACCGACAATTTCTCAGCGGGCAACAGGATTTGTGTTGGAAGCTATAGTGTTGTGTACATAGGCATACTCGTTGATGGTAGTAAGGTTGCAGTAGAAAGGGTAGAAACGGGGTTGAGTAGAACGCCTGAAGAGGCCTTCTGGTGGAGGAGAATGTCTAGTTCGACCTTTTTGCCCGGTTTACGCCCCAAGAACTTGGTTGGGCTGGTTGGGTTGTGTGCAGAGAAAGATGAAAGAGTGTTGGTGTACGAGTGCATGAAGAATGGATCGTTGAATGATCATTTACATGACAAGCGGATCAATGTGTTGAATTCGTGGGAAATAAGGATAAAAATTGCTTTGGATGCTTCCCGAGGAATAGAATATCTTCATAAGTATGGAATTTCATATACTGTTCATGGAGATATCAAGCCTTCCAACATTCTTCTTGATGCTACCTGGACGGCAAAGGTGTGTAACTTTGGGAAGGTAGCAGGAAGCATTGGATACATTGATCCTGAGTACTCAACTTTTGGTGCGTTGACAGAAAAGAGTGATGTGTATGGATTTGGAGTTGTGTTGCTTGAACTTCTAACAGGAAAGAGAGCTGCATATGGGCAAAGTAGGAAAAATAGAGGCACCATATTACATGTACCCTTTGCAGAGGCTGCTATTTTGGGTGGAGATTTTGTGAAAATTTTGGATACAAGGATTGGAGAACCCTATCTCGGTGAAGCAGAGGCTTTGGAGTTAGTGGCTCATACTGCCATGAATTGTGTAAATGTGGTAGGGAAGTTTAGACCAACCATTTCTCAAGTTGTGGTCAATTTGGAGAGGGCTTTAGCTTATTTCTTGTGCTAGGGGGAAGTATTCTGAGTTCTCATTCATTCTTTCTAAATTTCATATTTACTTCATTCTGATATACATTTGTAAACTATTTAATATTTTCATTTTTTTTCTATATGAATTTCTCATTATTAATGAATATTTTCGGTATATTCCGAAAATTTCAATTTAAATATACTATACTATGTTTTCTTATAATATTATTTTTGCGTAAATTATTAGAATGATTTTATTGAAAGATGCTGATTAATGAAAAAGTTCATCACCAATAATGTCACTAGAATAAAACTCCGAATATAGTAACTTTAATGCTATTAAAACATTCTATTTATTTAAAAAAAATTAATTAAAAAATAGTTCATTGACCATCCCCTTTTAAGTACAAAATTACGTGATTTTTTCCGTTCAAAAATTATTCAATTCGTCCCCAAAAATTTATGTTTATCTACAATATATCAACAAGTTGAAATTCTTTCATAAAAGTTATGACAAATTAATCAATTTGATTTTATAAGCTTTAATTAATCCATTTAATTTTTGTTGAACTATTCATCACTAAATATAACATATATTTTACGATTTAACTTTCTCTTTTTAAGAAGCACCGATTTAACCATTCAAATGTCTCATGTATTGTAAGAATCCCTCGTCAATAGCTTTCATCAATAATGTTATCAATTCCTACAAAATAATCATCTTAAATTCAGAATTTCACACAACAACCTTTATCCCCAAATCATTAATTCAATTCACGTTCTCAACCAACCAATTTATACCACACATCAAATCCAATTAATACAAATCAAAATTAAACCATGATTCTATAACAAGACACAATCAAATTTAATTAATTAACTTTCCTTACTCATTTAATAACACAACATAACTTCTTTGATCTCTAAGCATTCATAAACATAGAGAACATAATATAAACTATCAACACAAAGAAAACTTAGATCAATTTTCATATCTTAATGATCTTAATAAAACAAAGATCACACTACTATAAAAGAATAAAAATAAAAATTTAGTCTATTTAACAAAATAATTAGATGAATAAGTAGGTCTCATAGTCATAAGTGTGCTCCGATAATAGAGAATTAAAAATTCTAGAAACAAAATAGAGGTGGAAGAATACTCTTATTTTTAGAAAAATAATAAATTTTATAAAATGAACTATATTTATTTTTATCAAAACTTTTTAATAATAAGTTATATGATATGAATTGCAATTATCTTAATGTTTAATAAATTTTTTTTTCAATTATCATAATACTTTTTTAATTTAATTCTACTATTTTTAATGTTTTTAATTTAATTTTTTTAATGAGTTAATATGAACCTTTCTGTTTCGGTATATATTTGTGTAGGACCGAGAGACATACCTTTTCTGTCGTAGTCTTCTTATATTTTGATCTATGAATCCCGTGTTCTAAGTTTCTTCTAGTCCGAGCCATGGGAAGGACACCTGTAAAAGACATTCCGACACTCAAATAAGTGACTGACATGATAATATTAATAATGTTCGGTCTGTTACTCATAAACAACTTCTTTATCCTGCAATCAATTATCAATATCTTTAATTAATTTATTGGTTACTTATTTGCTCAAACCATCGACCAATTATAATAACTTAAGTGCAGGCCCAACATCAATAACTTAAGTACTGGCCCAACATTGGATCTGTTTTGACCGTTGACAAAAAGTAACAGACCGAACAATTGTGGATGTTGTCCGTTTTGACCGTTCGACCTATCCCATATACCATACACTTTTTATTTGGTGAAAAATAGAACAAAGTTTTGATATTTTAAAATAAATATTTTAGCATTATTTTAAATTTACATATATTGAAAGGGCAGACATATGGTTTTGATATTTAAAAGCACATTTGTTCTAGAATTAATATATTTTAAAATTTTCTTTGTTTTATTAGTTACTTACCCTTACGCGTAGAAACATATAAGGAAATGTCTTCTTTAACAACTCTTTTTTAACAATTTTTTTGACAACACAGACGTGGTGGCTTATGATGGGTTGGTTTCAAATATTTTTCTAAAAACAAATTCAAACAAACCAATAAAGCAATGACATGTGACCCATTATCAAAAAATTGTTAAAATTTATTGTTAAAATATCAGGATCCAACATATAATACTGTTATAAGGTGAATGATTAATATTGATCTATTGACGAATTGGTATAAACTCAGAAGAACACTAACTTATCTAACTGGTATGCATTGACCAAGAATTATAAGATATTTGTTTCTCTTTATTATAATATCTTATATATGATATTATAAAATTGTCTCGTATATGTTTCCAGACGTCATTTTTCTCTGTACACGGTTTTCAAGAATTCGTCGTGGCCGAGCTTGTATAAGCCGCCAGCAATTTCTCAAATGATCAGATCATTCTATGGTTCTGGAAGCTCTGTTGATGTGTAGAGAGGTGGGACCATTCAAATGTCTCATGTAATGTAAGAATTTCTCGTCAATAGCTATCATCAATGTTATCAATTGCTAAAAAATAATCATCATAAATTCAGAATTTCACACAACAACCTTTACCCCCAAAGCATTAATTCAATTCACATTCTCAGTCAACCAATTTATGCCATACATCAAATCTAATTAATACAAATCAAAATTAAACCATGATTCTATAACAAGACACAATCAAATTTAAATAACTAACTTTCCTTATTCTACTAATAACACAGCATAACTTCTTTGATCTCTAAACACCCATAAACATAGAGAACATAATATATATCATCAGCACAAAGAAAACTTAGATTAATTGTCATATTTTAATGATCATAATAATACAAAGATCACGCTGCTATAAAAAGAATAAAATAAAAGTTTACTCAATTTAACAAAATAATTAGATGAATAAGTAGGTCTCATAATCATAAGTATGCTCCGATATTCTAACATATGAATAGAGAATTAAAATTTCTAGAAAGAAAATAGAGGTGGAAGAATATTCTTATTTTTAGAAAAATAATAAATTCTATAAAATGAACTATATTTATTTTTATTGAAACTTTGTAATAATAAATTAAATGAGTGTAAATTATAGGTATGAATTGCAATTATCTTCTTAATGTTTAATAACTTTTTTTTTTTCAATTATCATAATACTTTTTAATTCTACTATTTTTCAATGTTTTTAATTTAATTTTTTTAATGAGTTAATATAAACCTTTCTATTGGGTGAAAAATAAAATAAAGTTACATTAGGTCATAACAGAAAAAAAAGTATAAATATTTTTAAATTATTATTTTAGCATTATTTTAAATTTACATATATTGAAAGGGCAGACATATGGTTTTGATATTTAAAAGCACAATTGTTCTAGAATTAATATATTTTGAAGTTTTCTTTGTTTTCTGAAGCAGATTTTCGAAGGTCCCGTGTCTCCAGTTTTGCATCGGGAGTGGACTATGTGAGCAGGAGTAGCAGTAGTGGAGGAACAGATTTAGAAACCTTCCCTGTGTCTGGTTTTGCTTCTGAGGTTTACTCTACCACTGTTTCTGAAGGGTCGCCACCAGTGTTGTCCAATGTCACAGAACATGCTGTTAATAAAGGCTTGTAATTATTCAGCAAGGCTGAGCTTGTAGCAGCGACCAACAATTTCTCACTTAACAACAAGATTGGTGCTGGAAGGCTTGGTGTTGTGTACATAGGCAAACTCGTTGATGGTCGTGAGGTTGCAATCAAGAGGGTTGAAACCTGGCAAAAGAAAAAGATCTCATCAATTAAATCTGCATTGACCTTCTTGTCCCGTTTACACCACAAGCACTTGGTTGGGTTGGTTGGATTCTGTGAAGAGAAATACGAGAGGCTGTTGGTGTATGAGTACATGAAGAATGGTACCTTGTATGATCATTTGCATGAAAATGGTAGCAATGCGTTGAATCGGTGGAAAATGAGGATCACTATTGCTTTGGATGCTTCCCGAGGAATAGAATATCTTCATAAGTATGCAGCTCCACTATTTCTTCACGGGCACGTCAAGTCTTCCAACATTCTTCTTGATGCCACTTGGCTGGCAAGAGTGTCTGATTTTAAATTGTGTTTGATGAGTCCAGAAGCTGAGCGTGATTACCGACGAATAAAGGTAGGAGGAACAGTTGGATACATTGATCCTGAGTACTATGATCTAAATACGTTGACAGCAAAGAGTGATGTGTATGGGCTGGGAGTTGTATTGCTAGAGCTTTTAACAGGAAAGAAAGCTATATTCCTTGATGGGGAAGATGAAGTTACCTTAAGTGTGCACCGTTTGGTGGACTTTGCCGTGCCTGCCATTTTGGATCCTAGGGTTGGACCACCGGGTGTGAATGAGATAGAGGCATTGGAGTTGGTGGCCCAAACAGCCCTCCATTGCGTGAATCGGAAAGGTAAAGATAGACCATCCATGGCTGATTTGTGATCAGTTTGGAGAGAGCATTGGCGATCTGTTACGGTAGTTCTTATCATATCATTTATGGGGGATTGGATTTTGAAAATATAGTTTGGAAATATAAAGGGATATGTTAGGGATTTATAATTTTATTTTATATGTGTATTTTATTTTATTTTATCCAACCTTTGCCCCGTCTAAACCATAATCACTTGGCTGGGCTAGTTGGGTTCTGTAAAGAGAAAGATGAAAGGTTATTGGTGTATGAAAAGATGAAGAATGGGGCGTTATTGGACAAGGTGAGCAGTGTATTGAATTATTGGAGAAGGAGAATCAAGATTGATTTGGATGCATTCAGGGGAATAGAACTAATCCCTAATAATTAATCAAAACTAGATGACTATCAATACTCTTTAACAATCAGATAAAATGAAAAAAAAAAGATATAATTATTTCTTCCTTGTAAGTTTTGAATTAACACCCAAATTATGATAGAATTGTCATCATAAATTATTTAAGAAAACGTTCTATCTTCATTCTTTCAATTTATTATGGGCAAGGGTTTTTAATTTTAATCAAAATTATTTTTTCTAAATTTGATGGTTCCTTCATTAATATCATTAACTTCCATTTACATTCACATCCATTCAATTAGACTAAAAAGCATAAAGTGTATCTATAATTAGTGCTATCAAAATGAGCTGTAACCTGTGAGACAACTAGGCAAACCATGGATTTGAGACAGGTTAGGTTAGGTTTATGTGAGTTAGTTTTCAATCCGACTCACTTAGAACCTGACTCATCCGGGTTGAACCCGTAGTGAGCTGAACTCACCTAATTTAATTTAATTATTTATTATTTTGTGTTTCAATATTATAATTAGCATTTTTTTTATTATATTGTAGATGGAATAAAAAATGTTTCAAGGGAAAAAAAATTATAGATTTATCTATTCAAGACTCTGATATTAAAGATGGACAAATGATACAAAAATTATGAATATTAAAAACTTATATGTTCGTCTTTTGTGTTTATTTTTGGATTGTATGATTTTTTTATATTTTTAATTGTCTTTGGAGTTTAAAGTGAAATTTATTTATATTTGAATTAAAAAAAATATATTTTTTTTTAATTTAAAAAAATTATAATTAAGTGAGCTAATGAGCCAACCCATTTAATCTACAACCCGTGGTGGGTCGGGCCGGGTTCAAATTTTTCAACTCATTAATAAGTGAGGTGTTGCTCCCTCCACCACCCCAAGTGCTCCTGCACCTTCTCACTATTTTCTTTTATTCCAAAAATACTCTACACCTCCCCACTATTTTCTTTTATTCCAAAATTACCCTAGACCTCCCCACTATGTTGAATAATCTTTTTCTTTCTCTCTCCACATTAATGGAGCATTCACATGGTTCAGATTTAAACTTATGATATATTACAAAATTTTATTTACACTTTTCCTTAAATAACCTTGATGCAATCTTATTTTCACTGTTCAATATATATTTTTTTCTTCAAATCACTTAATAAATG